CGCCGTAGTGCCTCTGCAGCGTAATATATTTTTTGGTAATGAGCACTCTAAATTTTCAAATGAACTCGCTCACTCGGCCTGTGCCCCGTGTATTTTGACGGCGCGACTCAAAATTAAAAAACTTTGGCCGGCGAGGGGTGGAACGGGAAAACTTTGGGGCGCCTGCATGTAAGTATTTCGACCGCAGAATTAAGCCGGGCCTGTCATCTCGGTCTCACAAAAACCATTCCTCTTCTATTTTCCCACTGCTCAGGAGTTGGTGTGTTTTTTAAGCCCCAACGCCTATCCTCTTTTCGCTTTTTCTCGCGCTAAGCTGCTTCAAATTACCTCGCCGGAAAGAGAGAGCCGAGCGGAAACGGACCTTTTTGCTGAGTAATGCAATTGGAAAATAATTTTCTCACCTTGCTGCCAAAAAAAGTGTTTTTCAGCAGCAAGAAAGTAAAAAAGAAAGCAATCGTTTGGAAAGAAGGGGAAAGACAACTAATAGAAGAAATTACTATGGGCCAACATTCTTTTTTGAAACTTTTTTAACAGGTAGACCAAAAAAAAATTAGAATTGAGATGAAAAATGAAGGAAAATAAAAAGTACAAAATTTGTGATTGAGACTAATATGTTTTATTTTTATCAAAATGAAATGAGCGTTTGGTGTTGATTTCATACCTCATGATTCATGATTCATGATATATAGTTGCAAAAAAATGGGGGATATTATCATGCTAAGTTAGCTCATGGGAATAATCGCAGGTACTAACTTAGCACGTGAATATCCCCCAATAATTTTTATTGATCTATCACAGAGCAAATCACTGTTATTACAATAAAAATAATAAATTTAAAAAGAACAATTTTTTTTCATATTTTGTTTATTTTTTACTCAAAATCCGCTGGCATAAAATGAAATTAATAAAAATGTCTTTAAATCATGTAAACTTCATTGTATCAATTTAATCGTTTTCTTTTACCCAAACACTCTCTTGTTTCCTTTTTATATTTAAACCAAACTTTATGTTTTTAGTGCTTAATAAAAATAAACATGCTGAAATAGGAATATATTTACTTTCTTTCATTTGGGGCCATGGGGTGAATAATGCATCTGTCGTTTTATGGCCCATTCGAAGATTTACATTTTTATAACCGCGCTTTCTGCTCTTTTGCCCACCATCAATCATTTCGAGGCGCTTCTCTTTTATTCCTCGGCCTCTATTAAACTCGTTTTCCACTCGCTCGGTCCGCAACCGCACTTGCGGATTTTGAAACGACCAAAGTCGACACAGGTACACACACCAACCATGCACTCACATAAAAAAGAGACCGTTTTTCTCTATAAAAGTCACACACGCTGGCTGGCCGTGTGTGTGTCTCTCTCTCGGCACATAAATGACACTTTACAAAACCGAACCGTGTTCGAGCGGTGATCGGTTCTTTGCACTTTAGCCCCTTCTTGGCGTGCTCTCAACCGCGGCGTTCTGAAAGCAAACCAAGTGGATCAGAAGTAACCAACCCTTTCGCAACTCAATCAAGAGCGAATTTTGCCTGTGGAAACCGAGCGAGCAGCGTTCGTCCGGGTGTTTCATTATGCCATTGATTATTCATCAGGCCGCACACTATATAATACTCTCTATGTATATATTTTGTACCACATCATGCAAAAGCAGCGAGGATTTTGTTGAGCTTTCTGTTTTAACTTGCGGCCGGCTCTGCCCACTTTGCGTCTCTTGTTTTATTCCCACGTGAAATTTCGCATGGAGAGAAAGTGGCCGCTCTCGCATTCGAGCTCCGCTTTATAATCAAAATCAAAGAATGTGAACGCCCCACTTCCTGTGAGAAAATTACACACTCAATTACACCCAAGCAGGACTAACAAGCAAGGTAGAATGCGTCTATTAAATTTGGGTAAGGTGCGATGAAACTGTTCCACGATAAATTCACTTTTAATTTAAATAAGTATGCAAATTTTATGGCATTATATCATTTTAAATTTATTTCAATATAAACCTTCTATATTGGTTAGGCTGATGAGAAATGGAGTTTAGTTTCAAACCATTTTTATTAATGTATCACCGGGCATTCTCTGCCCAAATACATCATCCATAATTCCATAAATTCAATATTTTAAATTACATTGGTAATACAAGAGAGAGAAATTTAATCAAAAAATACAAAGACAGAACATACAAAATAAACAGTCCTGAATTATTGGGTTATTAATATTTTTGCCATTATTAGACTGTTCATATCGTCAGCACCCTGTTGCTATTTATTTTAAGCTTGTCTCGGTTAGCTTAGACATAGTCTAGCTTGTACTGTTTTCCTTTTACGACTCAGGTAAGGTGTAATTTTCTCACAGGAAGTGGGGCGTTCGCATTCTTTGATTTTGATTATACAGCGGAGATGAAATTCGAAATCCAGCCTGGAGCGGCCACTTTTCTCTCCATATTGAACTTATTTATATTCATTTATAAAATTGTTAAATTTCACAAAGAATGTATGTTTTACTCTAAAATTTATTCTGAAAAAAGATATTTGCGAACCATATCATTCCAATAGAAAATGTGAAAGAATGAAATTATACAATCATGCTAACGTATTTTTTTTTTTCATTTTTTTGATGAATTTATGGGTTATTTAAAAAAAAAATTATTATCTCATTTTTAAAAATTCATTTTTTTTACACAAATGAATTCTAGTTATCCTCAAAAATTTATTACTTAAAAAAATTAAATAGCAGACCTTACCAGACTGTACCTTTTTATTGAACATAATAATATATTATATAAATGCTTACAACATACTTACATTACTTTTGTGCGAACCAATTTTATTTATTTCTCGTAAAAACCATTCAATCATCGATTATAAATGTTTAATAAAATAAAATTAAATTAATAAAAAAGTATACAGAAAAATGAAAAATTAATCGCTGACTAATGCAACAAAAATTAATCAAAGGACTTTTTTCAATAAAGGAAATCGACCCCTGTTTGAAAAACGCAACCTCAAAAGGGGCCGCAGAATTAATTAGCCTGCTGCGGATATTTATCGGGTAATACACTGATCGGTTTCAACACGCGGCCTGCATATTTGCGGTCAGTGTCGTCGCCCTCTGAGAGAATGAACAGACACGGTCGCTGCATGTGAGCGTTTTTGATCCGGCTGAAAGAATCTACCCCCGGGGGCATGAGTGCCACACACAATGGCCTAATGAGCACGGCGAAATTATTTGTCACCTATAGTCCGCCAGCGCGCGCGGCGAGAGGACACGCGTCGCGACATCGATCAATGCCTGTCACTCTCTCTGCGGCACCGCACACGATGACAGTGCAAAATGCAGAAAGGAGCACTCGCCAAAAACGCACGGAGCGAGCTCTAGGCGATACAATTTCGCGGCCCGCTGGAAAAACAGACGTCACCTGTCCGCTCAACCGCATAAATTATCTCGCGCCCCTGACCGCGTGTGAATTCGAACAATTTTTCACGCCAGTGGACGCCCCGAGTGTTCGTTTTTCGTTTCGCTACCAAAGTGAGAAATTGCGCGGGGGAGGATTTATGGCCCGCTTCTTGGATATAAATGTGGGTTGGAAAATTAGTTGGTTTGTTTTTAGTGATTAATTTTGGTGAGGTTAATGTCCCATTGTTTTATGATATGAGTCGTAAAAGGAGCCGTACATTAAGCACTACTTTGTTAGTACCTAAACCAGCCCGTGTACTTTTGTACTCGGACAAACGTCAGCGGCGGAATGCTATTTTTGGAGTGGCCCCAGCCGCGCCGCCCGCCCGTTTGACATTTTTTTTTACACGCGATGAGGTAATTTTGCGTCGTGTTTCAAGCGCCCAAATTTCCGTTATTAATGGAAGCCGCAAAAGTGGGTGAAAGAGCCTCACTTGAAAAGCGAACAAATTGCCTCAAATTAAGCTTACTAAGTGGCTAATTAATATTCGCGTTTGAATTTCCACACAGTTGGCGAAAATTGTCACACATGGACAATTGAAATTTAATGTCTTAGGCATTCAATAATGTCAAGCAGAGCCAGTTGCTGATCCTGAAAATTATCTGCAATGATTGCTACGTCGTCTGCATAGAAGATAATTTTTATATTTAAATAATTTTTAAAATATGTTCCAAGGTATTTAAAACATGTTTTTGCATGCTGTGAAAATTAAACAAATAACTTGAAATTGAACTCATATTTTATAAATTAAAATTATTTCTTTTTAAAACAAGCATTATTATATAATCGCTATTCTTTCTTTAATTCAATTTTTATTATTTATAATTAGTGTTATATTTAAAGTATAATTTATTAAATTTATTCCCTGCAATCAACGTAATCTAATATGTAAGTCTTATTCATTTAGAAAGCTCCTGTATTGCATTGTTCGTCTTTTATTTTCTAGTAAATAGTATAATTAATTATTACTTTATATTTACAATGTTACCAATATAAGTATTATTCGTATTATTCAACCACACACAAAAAATGCATTTCAATTTTTATTCATTTTTTACATTATTAACTCTTTTCCAAGCATTTTTCCAAATTCTCTCGCATCGAAAAAGCTCGTAAGCAAATTGATTCGTTCACACTGGAAATTGAATTAGAGGCGCCGCTCCGGAGCGCAATCCATTACGTCAGAATTTGCATTCGGGTATATCTCGACGGCGCGAATTCCCCGCGGACGTGCACAAAAAATTAATCAACTCCTCCCCAGCGAGTCCACTGCGAGTGTGTGTGTGTGTGTGTGCTCGGGGGGAAAGCGCGATTTTTACATCAAACGCAGCAAAACAAAGTAAAAGGCCGGTGGTGCAGAATTACTCATCCGGACTCACAATGATAAACATTGCTGGGGTGGTTATTATTATTTGTCCTGCCAGAGCTAATCGAAAGTGCAGGCGGGCATTAAAATTGGCCGAGTGGTGTGTTTGCACTAGGCCTCAGATGTGTTTTGGCGAGGTGAGGTTGGCCAAATATTGATTCAGTGCGTTTGTATTTGATTACAGAGCAGGCGAAGGCGAGCGCACGACAGGGCAGTCCGGGCCCGCAACCGCCGCTGCCCATCAGGGACTGCAAGTACGTCGACATCTACCGAGAAAAGCCCATCAGGGTCATCGTCAAAGTCCTCGTCCCCGTCAGAGAGCACCCTAAGGTCAGTGTTTGTTTCATCCCCCCAAAGTGCTGCGTCCACCCCCTACACGAGCAGGCAGGGGATTTTGGGCGTGTGACGGGAATAATTACGAGATGGGCCAGACCCACGCGTTCAATTAATTTCTCTCCTCCGAACCAAGATTAAAGGTTATACATTGAGCTGCGGACGAAATTCTATTGTCATAAAGTCAGCTTTTTATGGTTGTTGCCAATGTGAAATTATTAGAAAATGGTTTAATTAGTTAATTAAAAGTGATATTATAGACATGGAATTTGTACATTCCTGTGAGCTATTAATTTATTTTAAATGAAATTTTGAAAGAACAAAATTAATAATCGAGCTGCTTGTTGACAATTCGTGAATAAATGGGTTATCTAGATTATTATTTCCACTTAAAAATCAAATAATATGGTTTAAACATTAGCAGCACTTAAATAATTGGATATTTAACTATTTTTGCTCTTTTTTACAATCAACTACTGTTTATAATTGAACTGTATTATAAATTTTATATTTATCTTATTTGCAAATGGGGCTCATCGCAGTGACATTGAGGAGATGACTTCATAAATTTGCTGTTGAAAAATTTAATGAAAACTAGATTTTAAAAAATTAAATTTCTTCCAAAACGATTATTTGAATCCTTCTTACACTTTACGTGTCAAAAATCATTGTTCCCTGGTTAATAATTCACAAATAAATTCATAGTAAATTTGCATCACGCACGTTTTTGTTTCCGTCACGAATTTTACGATTGCTGAAAGTGGATCAGGTGCCACAATAGCCCCGGCCCCGTCTATCGACAGAAACGATTGCTTGGCTTTTTGTGCCTGTGATGAGCTACGGTGGAACCGCACGTGCTCGTCCAAACATCCCTTGCCAACTTTTTTACGACTCGTGTCTGTCAACCGAAACTCTCAGGTCAAAAGTCATAACGGGAGGAGAAGCTTCACCGTCGATCTTTATTGTCCGCCTACAAACGAAGAGAGAAAGAAAACTCGCGCGCAATTGTTTCTCTTGCCAAAATGCGGAACTGGTTTATTCCAAGAGAAAGAAAGAAAGAAGGGACATAATTCTACTTTTATTATCGCGACGAGAGAAAAGAGAAAAGTATAAAAAAATCTCAAAGCCATATAAATCTTGAGCTGCGAAAAGAATTGCAAAATTTCTTCTTTCTGGCGAGCGAGGAGATGATGCGATATAATAAATTAACACGCCATTTGCGCGACTAAATTACGCAATCATGGTTGTGTTTTCGCCATGCGAGCGAGACAATAAAACACTTGTTTCGCCGTGGATTTGTCCGCGTGCCAGAACGGAGGAATATCGCCTCGGCCATAAATTACAATATTTACACAATATCGCCGGCGCGAGAAGGCGCGGGCTTGACACATATTTCTTCTAACGCAGCCAGATGTTGCTTTAAAATATTCCATTCGAATTTTGATTCTGCAGCTTTGGGCGAAGGGAAATAAACCGCGCCAGCGGAAAACAACAAAAAAGGGGTGAATAAAAATATATATTCCGCCTTTCTTTCTTTCTCTCTCCGCGCAACTGAGAATATAATGTACGTGTATTCATGGTGGAGAGGCGATATGTGCTTTTGCAATCACATGCAGCTTTATTTCAATGGAATCCATCATTTGCTCAAAAATACTTCCCCAAGAAAATATGTATTTTTTTTTCAGTCAAATTGCATTCAATTTATTATAAATGTTTCGTGTTCTGTTAATGTTGATGAAAAACGTCATCAGCAAGGTTAATGAAATTTTTTGTTCCAAAATGGTATTGATACATCACCAGGCAAAAATACATCATACATACATTTAAAAATTATCAATTTAAATCATATTAGAGAGGAAAACAAATAAGTCATTATATGTACATGAATTACACTTAATTAAAATTAATAAAAACAGGAGAGCTTAGAGAAAGGATTCAAGATTTTAAGATTCCAAATTTATTACTCATGGTTCATCTTTTTTCTAGTGGTGGTGCCGTTTTTTCCAAACATTCCTTTTCTTTCAAACAAATCTGAACAAACCTTTTTTCAATAAAATAAACAACGTCGGAGATACAAAAACAATAAAAAACAATATGTACAATTAAATTCATTTTGGTCAAGGTGATGGCTACCTTCATCCACCTCTCTTTTTCCGGGCACAACATGCTTGATTTTTTTCCTCCTTTCCGAACAGTAAAATCAGCGTCACTTTTCTCAATAGCTGGTGCGCTGTTGTAAAAGAAAATTACACCGACGCTAAGCAGCTGGCCATTGAAACTTATAAGCGGCTGCGAGTGTGTGCAAGATTATGCTGGTGCAGCGTTCTATCGTTTGGCGAGAATGGCGCGCTAAACAATAATGTGGTCGAGCCGAGGGAATTGGGAATTTTTGTTGAGAGCAACAAAGGACTGCTGAGGTTGAATAGTCGCGACAACGACTTCTGCTCCGTTTGCCAGATAGAATTTCTTTTCAAAAAACAAAACTTTTGTGAGAAAATTTGCCTAAAACAAACATTTGGACAGAGAACGGTGCATTGTTGGAGGAATATAATAATAAAATTAGATTAGGTGGTTTGAAAACGAAGAGTGAGATTAAAAAAGAAGCCAATCAAAAACAAAAATCTTACAAGGAGTTTGCGGGTTGGTTTTTTCTGGTTCATAAAATTTAATTTCAGAAATCTTTGAGAATCAAATTGGAAGTTGCTATTGGAAATTTATCTGTTGAAAACAATATTTTATTTTAATTTCCTGCTTTTGAAGTTATCCCATCTATTTGGAGCTTTTTATAATGACAAAATAATTCCTTGCTTGTCCAGATTCAAAAAATTTTCTTACCTATGTTGAAAACCCTCATTGATGGCAAAAGGGGAAATCTGAATAAAATTATATTTTTTACCATTTATCATTAATTTAGAAAAAATTTCTCAAAAAGGTAAGAATGTCATTTAAATTAATTCATTTTTAAAATAATTTGCTTTAGTTCCAGTGAGATCAATTTTTGATTCCCTAATTAAAAATATTTAATTTCTTGTGAGCTTCATTAAACTTTACTGAAAAGCTGGTTCTATTTAAGCTTATGTGAGATTTAATGCTTAATTTTTTCTCAGGAAATTTTTAGCCGCAGGCAGGCAAAGTCTTCCTTCCTACTTTTTATTGCGCTTTAGCTTTCGCGTAAAACACAGCTTTGCGCTAGAAAATGTAAAATTAATTGCAGTCTCACGTGAGAACAGCAAACTTGTTTCAATTTTTCCTCCTAAAAAAAACTCTGCCACTCCTTTATACCGCCGGAGCAGCTGCCGCGCGCCATTTTCACGAACCTGCAATCATCATAAAATAAAACCACCCTGCAGGCTAAGTAAGTAATAGTGGCAATCGACGACTCTCTGCATTTCTCTCCACCCCAGTGACTTAGCAAAAGGAGTCGGCGGCAAAAAGGCGCAGTTTATATTATATATAAGGGCTTATTTCCCTGATGGTTATTACCCCTTTTTCTTCGTTTTCCAACTCCAGGTAAAACCCCATTCACGCGCCCAGAGTTCACTACCTCACGCTGCCAACAATCCTTGCTGGGTTGAGCGAAAAGAAAGAGCCAAGAGAGGAAAAATCCTGTTTAGCGCCGCCCCTGCAATTACGCGGCGTTTGTTCGAGGGCTGATCGCAAACATTAGCATTTGGCTGATTGAAAATCCAGGAGGAAGAAAAGACGGCGACGGTGGTGCCCGTTTTTTTTTTTTTATTCTAGCTCTCGGAGACCGACCTCGTTTCCTATTGATTCGCGACGTTGCACCGAGAAACAAAAAGCCGGCAGCACAGAAAGAAGGAAAAAAGAAACACGGTAGGGTATTGATGACAAATTGCTGTGCTGGCTCAAATGTTTGCACTCCGTCTAGATGGGGGAATCAAAAAGCGAGTGACAGCAGAAATGCAGCGGAAGAATTTTCGTCCATTGATTGGTTTTTGATCAAGTGTCTGATGCGTCAGGCCTGAGAGCTGTACTTCATCATCCGCGAAAAGTAAAAGTGTTTTGAGGAAGAGCGAAGTAATTTTTTTCCTTTGACAGTGCAAGAGAATTTTTGAAAAGATTTCCAAGAACATGATTTTCAGTGGAAAAAAATAAATCTTTTCTTGTGAAAGAAAGGAAAGATTCTCAAGTTCTTGCTTGGGTGAAAAAAGGAAAGCTGGTGTTTAAAAATTTGTGGAAAATATTTTTCGTGTTTTCAAGGTTTCCGTGCCTCACAATGGGTCAGTTATAAAAATGACTTACATAAAACGAGCGAAATACTATTCATAAGAAAAATCATTCAAAATGTTTAATTTTTTGCTTAAAAATTTCCCTCCTGAAAGTCTTGAATAGGTTCTCGCAATAAAAAATGGACTTCTCCCAAGCGCAACAAGATTCGTTTTTTCATGTTGGTGGCGCTGGCGATCGCGGCTAATCTCCCAAAGAAAGCACTGCAGCTCAAACATTTTGCTCAAAATCCTTGGTATAGTTCGGAAATTCAGGGGGAATATTTTGATCGGTAAATGATTTTCAATTTTTAAATAAATGGTTTTTCTTACTTTTTTTTCAAATTTGATTCAAGAATTTTAACATCCATAAATGATTGAGAATTAGTTAATAAATTCAATGTATAGACAAAATTTTAGTACAAATATTTTTTATAGTAACTTATACCATCATTTAAATTGATTCAAAGAAACTTAATATTTTGCAAAAGTTTATGATTCTTTTAAAGCCAAAATGTCCTTTTACGGCTTTTACTCTATCAAAAGCCTAAATCTGACTTTGAGATCAAAAGGAAAAGCAGCTTTCGGACGTTGCCGCAGTTGATGTAAGACCGGCGAAATGAGCTGCTACTTCTCACTGCCCTGTTCATTTATGTGGGCTGAAATTAAAGGGCGACCAGAGGAGGAGCTATGCGCCTTTCGCTGACACGAACTGCAACCCGCCGAACAGGGCGGTTAGACGGGAAGGCTAACCGCTACAAATTCAAGCAC